TTCTCATTAAGTAAGGTGAAACGAATGGATTCAAGTGAATCCTTCTCTAACAAGGTGAGTTGAAAGGGAAGTGGATGCTCAAAGAATGCTACAACACCTGAGATATTTCATCGAAATATCCACCAATAAGCTTCTTTTCCTGGATGAATTTCACATTCGACAAGGCGTCCTCGGCCAGTTCAATCGCTTGATTGAAGCCATTTTCGCCACCGTATGAAATATCCACTGTTTTGATAATTTTTGCTTGCAGTCGCTATAAAAAAAAAAGACCGATTCGTAAAAGGAATGAAGAACAGAAAGCAGTCAAGAGGCTTCGAAAGCAGCAAGCGAAGGCAGAGTTGAAAGCAGCCCTGACTCATCGCTGGCTAGACTGAAACCGCGTTACAATTCTTCCAAGAAACAGAGGCAACGAGTAAACGAGAATCAACAAAATGTGTTTATAGAAAATAATTCACATTAGACCAAAAAAACTGAAATCAATGTCAGTTAGAAATAAAAACCTCCGGTAGGGGATCTGAAATGTTTCGTAAGGAGATTAATTCGAATTTTAACCTGATCAAACATATCGGACTGGCCAAGTTCCGTCTTGAAATCTGCACTGCCGGCAAGAATCAGTCCAGCTACATTCACTTTGTCGTTCCGAATAAACATCTCCACAGCCATCTCCGCAACTTTCCTCACGTAATTATGACGCTTTTCCATGCGAAGACGTGCAAAACGAAGAGCCGACTGACCACCACGACCTGTAAACCAAGCGACAGCCAACAATTCATTATGAAAATCATATAAAGCTTGAAGCCAACTCAAGCCCTGGGCAACGATTACTTGAGAGAAGCACGTTTTATCTAAAAACGGTTTTCGTTCCTTCCTTTTTTCCAACCCCATCACAATACGCCTCCTCGCACTCCTGTCCTTCCCATTCCTAAGCCATCTCGCAGTTCCGTAGCGACGCATTCAAGCAGAGCTCTGTTAATGGCCCGTCTGCCTAAATAAAGAGTAGGGCATCTTCTTTGCTACCACTTAATAATGACAACTCCTACCATGTTTCTTTGGTAAATCCACCGTAAATTTATGCAGCACTTCGCGAGTATTGCCTTGCAAAGTACCGAAAAGCGAACCGTTGCCATCCATTACGATGAAGCCAAATATATTATCATCAGCCAGAAGAGCTGAAAATTAATCAAGCGCTATGCAATGTCGTTTGCCCATTGAAAATACGCTACTCTTGTGTGATATCAGTAGTCTGAATCCAGCTGTGCTG